TCGGTTAACTGAAATTTGTTCAGTTCGGGTCGATTAACCGATTATAGGCCAACCGATTCAAATCACTAGTTTAATAGTAGTTGGTTCAAAAAATAAAGATGTGCTTAGGAGGTGCTTATATGGTAGTGCGACTGTATTTAATTTTATTCAGTATATTATTAAAAAAAAGTTAACCAAAATTTATTTGTAAAATAAATACGTATTACATATAATTATAATTCTTAATACAGATATTATCAGCTTTAATAAATAAAGTTTATATATACATATTATATATATATATATATATATATATATATATATAATATATAATTTTCCAAATAAATTTGTCTAAAATGCAAATTAAAATAACCGCGCAAAAATACGTACGTACTGCATTAAATAAAATTTTTAACTGTATCGTGGCTTAACGTTAATATTATGTATGGCATAAGTATTGCATGACTTTTTTGATTGGCTCACAAAAAGTCATCTAAGGTTACACGAGTATAAATGTGCAACCTATATGTAAAATTCTTTCGTTTTCGTTTTCTTTCTTGACGATTGATCAATAACTATAATGTTTTCTCCTACCGCTCCTTCAGGCTCCGCAATTAATAATGTTACTGCTGGGAACTGGCAAGGAGATTTAGTCGTCAAATTAATATTGAGAGATAGGCGGGAGAAGGCATTTAAGGACTTCGTAGAGTCTTGTAAGTCTTTCTCATATTTGCCTTAATTTATCAAGTTATGCGCGTAAAATCAAGGAAAGAGATACTCAATCGCGTATTTCCACGAAGGTTCATAACAAAAACTTATTTGCTTATAATATTAATTACTTTTTATTCGTGGAGATTTCATTTTGAGTAACCCTTAAGTGTAACTATATATACCATTTGAAAATTTGTTATTAATAAAGTTTACGCACTTTGAAACTTATCTTATATAGACAATTCTCTTGTCCAGAAACTTGGAAAATTCGCTGACAGAAATGTTGAATTAGAACTTACCGAAAAGTCTGCAACTGAAAAAAACATCAGTTTATCTCGAGAGATAGAGATTTTAAAGGAACAAGGGTAAGTGTTCCCAAATAGTATAAATACTTATAAATAAATAGAATTCTATTGAAAAAACGTGTTATATATTAGATTAATACTTATTTATGTCAATAATATGCGCGTACAAATTTTAGGAGCCCAATAAATCAGAAAAGAACTGCCGAATTAGAGCAGCAAATACAAAGTCTTAAAGAAGAACGTGCGGATTTATATAAAACTCAAGGAACAAATGCACAACGATTATTAGATGTAAATGACATGTTGCGTAATCACGAAGAGACTGCAAAAAAGAATAAAGAAGAGTAAATGCTTAGTCATTATCATCTTTTACCCATTTTTTCTTTTTCTTTTTATGTCAAAACTCATAACTGAAATAATTTTAATAAATATTTATTAGAATTCAAAGGTTAACCGAAGCCAATCAAACCTTAACAAATAAAGTTGATCTTCAAGTACAAGTCCTTCGCGAGAAAGACGTCACTATTCAGGTACTATAATGCAAATTCTTTTTATTTTATTCAATATTCTCCATATAATGGATTTTTGATATGAATTTGGATTACTGTTGACATAAATCCTGCTTCTACTTAACGGATTTATTTTTCAATAAAGTTTCGTATAATGGGAATTCACGGTTAGTTTATCGAGTCGGCTCAGTTTTCAATTGCAATGGGCCTATCCATTATATTGAGAATAACTATTTCTACATATAATTAATTAATTGAATAACTTCATTAAAACTTTATGACATTTGTGCTTGCTTAGCTTTTGCAAGATGAGGTGGCAACATTACAGTTAGAATTAGGTAAAATTGATGAACGTATGAAAGATTTAGAAAAAGAAAACGGCCAACTTTTGCAACGTTGGCTGAAAAAAATGAATGAGGAAGCTGAGAGAATGAACGAAGCAAATTTGTTTTATGAAAGGTAAAAATATTGTCATTTTGTTTTTAAAGAAAATTCGTAAAATTAAATTTGTTTAAATTAATTTTAGTGCGTTGGAAGTTCATGCCAAAGCATTAGAATTTCAAAGCGGTGTTGTTATTGTAGATAAAGAATTCACTCCGAAACCCGTCACCTTCACGGAATCTGGTGCAGGATCAACTAGGTATTATTATTATTATTTCATACTTCCGCTCAATTTTAATTGTTAATGAACCTAGTTTTATTTTTTCTTATTCGAAGGACGAGAAGTAGGTCATCTGCAGGTCCTGTAATAATACCCTTGGCCGTGGCTAAGAAATTGGTACGTTCTGGTAAAGAATTTATTTGTTTTATTCAACATCTGCACATCCATTTTAATTAATTTTTAATTGAAACGATAAGACCCCTCATGATGGTGAAATACATACGATCCAGTCATCTGCTGATGGAAGTATGTTTGCCACTGGTAGTGCAGATAAGACTATCAAGATATTCGATGCTGTGACAGGTTGAATAAAGCTTAAATTCTTTGTTTTAAAAACATGATTTAAAAATAATTATTTTATTAAGTTTATTTTAAATTTTCAGGGCAAACAAAGCAATCATTGTCAGGGTCAATACAATCCATCATGCATGTATCATTTAACAGTACTAATGATATGATCGCTGGTGCATCAAATGATAACGCAGCCAGATTATGGCATTTGAAAACGGGCCGGATAAGAGTATGTTAGTTTATTTCATATATGTCTTAAATTAAAATTGCATTTTATATTATGTATATAAATATGCCGAAATAATTTAACATCTATTTCTGAATCAATTATTTTATTATAATATTTAGCTTACACTAACAGGTCATGTAGGAAAAGTTTACTCATCTCGATTCAATGGTGATTCTTCTAAAGTGGTATGAAGATATTTCACTCCAAATAAAACCGATTAATTTTGATCATTCGATATATCTGACTTTTATTTTCATTTATTTTTTTTTTCAATAGATTACTGGAAGCCATGATCGAACCATCAAAGTTTGGGATTTGCAGAAAGGATACTGTATGTCGATTATTATATTTGTTGTCTTATAATTTTAAACTTTATATTTAAGAAATTTATGTAATGATATTCATACATTTCTATCTAGGTATTAGAACAATTTTCTCGTTCTCTAGTTGTAATGATGTAGTTCCTTTAGACGAGGAAGGGTATGCATAAATTTACAGTCAATAATGTCATTAAATCATTAAATATGAAAGCTCATGCCAACTAACACATCGGATGAATTACAGTACTACTCTTGTAAGCGGTCACTTGGATAATAATTTACGATTCTGGGATGTACGATCAGGAAAGGATATTAAGGAATTGACTGGCATTCATTTAGGACAAATTACTTCTGTTTCCATATCTCCCGGTAAGCAAATCTTCCAGCATTGATTTTGGCCGAAACTGTTTTAACTGATTTTAACTAATTATTTCCTTATAGATGGATCCAAAGTATTGACTAATTCTCGTGATAATACGCTGAAAATAGTTGACCTAAGGACATATGATGTCGAACAAACATTGCAGTATGTATTTAATATTTTAACCAATATATATATATATATTAGTAACAAATCGTGTATATTAACGATTCTGTTATTTAGTGCTGATGGTTATAAAACTGGAGCCAATTGGTCTAAAGCATGTTTTAGGTAAAGTAAAGTGTCATTTAAACAATTATCATATTTTTAACACGTATTAATTTCTCAACATATTATTCAGTCCTGATGGAAGATACGTGGCAGCCGGTTCATTAGGTAAGAATACAATATTACTTTTTATTGTGATTTTTGAATCAATTATTAATATGATTTTATTTATATTCAGATGGTACTATATTTTATTGGAACATTCAAAAATCTAAACTAGAGAAAACGGTAAAGGAACATAAGTATGTATTGAATTGAAATTTTGTTTACATAAAAATTATAAAATTTTTAATCTTACTCAAAATAATTTTTTTTTTTTTAGTGCTTCTGTATGTGGCGTATCTTGGAGTCCCCAGGGAAGCCAAGTGTTTAGTGCTGATAAGGATCGTACAGTATGCATTTGGTCTGGTGGATTAAGGTGATTTATTTTTTGGCACATAATATTACGAAGAAATACCAAGGCCACGATAAAAATCTATATAAGGTTCTTCCATTAATTTTTTTATATGAAGCTATATATATTTATCAATCATCCTTATTTATTTTAAATGTCTGTCAATATTTGAACTACTTTTGAATGTGTAATATAGAATTGCTGTGATATTTATTTGTATATCGGTATAATAGTAATAACGCTTTAGTATCTATATTTTGAGGTACTAAAGTTCTTAAGAGTTTCTAGCTTTTTAGATTATGAAACACGATTCCATAATAAATATTGTTATCCAAATTAACTATATAACTATGTATCATAATTCAATTAGCATGTGTCATAGTACTTTACCTTCTATTTTAATACATAGATAATCCATTAATCGCTTATATAAGATTCAGAGGATTCACATGAACTTCCAAGATATGAAGATTCAGAAGAGATCATCTTATCATCTGATTCATTACTTTTAGAGCTATCCTCACTATCTAGAATTTCGGCACCATTATCACTAGAATCTCTATCGTCATTGTAAGGTGTATTATCATGATCATCATCTGGTATCATGTCAAGATCACCTTGTGAAGAAATCATCTCTCGTAAAAGCTGAGAAGGGGTTTCCATTTCATCATTTTCACGATCATTATCGTTATGAAGAAGTGAAGGTGAAAAACTAACATTTCCTATACTAGGATTTTGGTATGTAAAACTACTCTGTAATGAACTTTGCAAATTTGGTGCAAGGTTGTTCATCTTTGTAATTGATACTTTAAATGGATATTTATTCTATTGCATTATAAAAAAATTGTCCTTATTAGACATTTTAGATAAACCAAATTTTTCAAAAAATAGCTTGCCTGCATTAACGTTAAAGTTTCACCATCATGAATTTCTATTTTATTATTTTTACAAATTTTTTCGGGTCCTCTCATCATCGAATTTGCCCCAAGCTTTTATTAAAAAATATATATAAGATTTTGAAACGCGGACAATTTTTTTAGAAAAAAAATAAAATAAAATAGAAAGTGTTAAAAAAAAAATTGAATTACAGCTAGAGCATAAACTCGATCATCTTTTATTTCGAATCGGACTAAAGGAAAATTTTGATATAACTCAATATTTAGTTATAACACAGTAAATTCTATAAAAGTTAAAGCTTGACGACCGAAACATTGAAGCCAAAGCTTAACCTTGTTTCTTGCTTATAGCAGGATCTTGAATAATCCCGGAAAAGCGACCGAGTTCAAGGTTATCAGGTTCTGTAAAGGTGAAAGTTTTATCTATTGGTGGCAGAAAATGAATGACGACGCGAATCAATGACATCGTTAGACAGTATTTCGGAAAATTTTAAGCAGAGGATTGCTTTATTAAAGGAGTGTCTAGTGTATAGAATATTCTAGATTTTGTTATTCAATTTCTATATGTGTTATACAATGGCTTTACTATTTCATAAGGACCCTGGTTTTTATCAAATTTGAACATTTTTTGACCCAAACTTTTATAAATCCTGGTCAAATTAAAATTTAATTTTTTTATTTTGGCCAGAATTTAAAAAGAGTTTGGCCAAAAAAGTAGACAAAATGTCCGAAAATTTACTACGTATTAACTCAACTCGTGCCTCTATTACTGTACTGTATTAATATTATCCGGGGTTTTAGACATTCATATGATTGATTTCCCATAATTAACCAAAAAGATTTATCGTTTTAATACAATTAGACGTATATATATTTAGATACGCGTAAAGTATAGTAAATTGATATTTATTACTAACAAACCCAAACTTATTAAAGAAACTACAAAGATATACTATAACCCAAAACTTTACAATTAACAAACCCAACACACTACAAGAACCAACTAATTTAAACATTAATCTACTATTAAAAAAGCCTATATATATCTATTTTAAATTAAACAAAAACTTACTGTATTTAAATTTAATGAATAAAATAGTTTTTAACAAAATGTTTTTAGTTATTTTCACTTATATAGTATAATTTCACATGGTAGTATATTTTGTCTTCTAAGCACAGTACAGTCATCCTCCTCTACTATATAATCACGCGAGTTGTTTTACATAAAAAAGATGTGATTATAAAATTTTAATAGTAATATGATTATACAGTATAAAGTTTTTTTAATAAATTAATTGCCAATAATTTTTCAAAAATGGTGCTTATAAAGAGGATTTGACTACAGTATATATAGTAGAAGGTGACTGTAGAGGAGGACAACTGTATAATGTTTTAAATAAAACTACAGCATTTACAATAATATTTAATTTTATATATAGTATAAAAGTAAAAATATATTAAAATTTTTAATTTTTTTAAAACTAAACAAAAATAATTTAACAATAACCAAATCAAATTTAATAAAAATAAATTTAAAAGCTTATAAAAATTATTTAAAAAAATTTTTACTAAATTTACTATAATTAAGTTTTTATTAAGTTATTTTATTAAAAAAAAATTTGATATGTTTTTACTAACTTTTATATAAATATACAGTATATATATATATATATTTTTAATTTTTAACTAACTCTAATAACTATGGATCTATATACTGTATATACTATATATATACAGTATATACAGTAATATAGATACCATACAGTATTTTATAAATATTAGAATTTTTTTCAAATATATATTATCAAAAAAACAAATTATTTAAACCTAATTTTTATAATTTATTATATCCTATTTACAAAAAAAATTCTTACATATTATTTAAAAAACTATTATTATTTTTTTTTATTTCTTGATTTTTTTTTCTTGTTTTTTTCAGTAAGATACAATGACAAAAAATCATTTTTTAAGATTGTTTTTCCATTACGATAATTAGTGGCAGAATCTAATTTTGATCTTTTAGATGTAGCAAAAGTTTTACTGTCGTCTTCATCTTCATCTTCAGATTTATTATCCTTTGCGTAGTAATTTAAATTATCATCATTATACACATTTTTTTGTATTAATTTACGTTTTAGCTTCTTTTCAGAAGTCGACATATATTTAACACCGCCACTTCCACCAACCCTATTCATTTGTACGGAAGGTTAAATAAGACAGCACTTTACACATAAGTCCAGCTCAAAAGTAGATTTCACCTAGTTGCATGTAACTCCTGTATTGACTTTGTCAATTGATTTTCCCGTTTTCGTTCTTCTTCCTCTTCTTTTTCTTGTTCACCAGGATCAAGTGGTGGTAACCAAGAGTCGACTACAGAAGAAACCAGGTCAAATGAAACATCAAGTTTAGTTTTTATAACCTCTAATTCGTTAAGACGTTCTTCCGAACTCGACATAGTTTTAATAGTTACAATAACGAGAAATTAGAAAAATTATGTAATTATAAATATGCAAGTTTTTTATTATATTGCAATCTGATTGGTCAGCCCATAGTAACACTATATTTAGTTAGTTTTTACCAAAATTTTTTTTTTTAGACTCCCGAAATAATGTCGCGTCAAACTGATGGCAAGGAAAACGCGCTGGCAAATTATAGTCAACGGGTGAGAACGCCGGTGAATGCGTTACGCGACATAACCAATAAAACACCACAGATTAAGACAGTTAGACATAATAAAGATGGTTATAATGGCACGCCAGCAGTATCATTCACAAAGCAACAGAAAAATTCAAAAAGCTCATTAGATCGAAGATTTAAAATAGAAAATGACATCACAAAACAACAAAATTTAAAAGGCCCAATAGAGGATCTAATAATGAAACCAAGCGAGGAGGAGGCTGATGTGCCTGAAATCGAATATTGTCCTCCACCAATCAAAGGTTTGTAGAGGTCTAGGATTTGGAACTGGATTTATTTTGAGGTGGTAAAGTATAATTACAAAATTCTCTTAAAGAACTATCCTATGAACCATTGGATGAAGACCTTAAGTTTGATTGGGAACCATTACGACACCTGCCCAGTGTTACTGCGTACGAGTTTGAAAATATAAAGTATGATGAATTATCATTTCCAAAGATTGATCCAAATGATTATCGGTCCAGGGAGGTTATGGATGATTATGGCAAGTAAAAAATAAGATTTTTACGCGTTCACTTATGTAATTATATAATCTAAATCCTCTAACTTATAAACGGGTTTAAAGAATTATACGAATTTGACAATGTTGTATTCACCGATTACGATCTGGGAGATGAGAATATAAATGAATATGAGGTTTTTCAATTTAAAAAAACTCGTAATTAATTAAATAAATAAATAGAAAAATATAAGTTTACTAGCAATTAACCCTCGCATTGCTTCGGTTATTATAAATCAAATAAATTTATTAATAAAATTTTAAAAATTTTTATTTGAAAAATGTCAAATTAAGTAAGTTAAGAATTTATCTATTAGAATGAAATAATTGTACTAAAAATCTCCCAACTCTAACCTTAAAAATTCCTTTCCACTTACATCAATACTGCATATAGTATAGTACTGGGAATATAGTGCAAAATTTAAAAACCATAATATTTATATATATAATTGGCTATATATTAAACATGAATTAGGATTATAGCAAGTTAGCATGTGCGCTTTTAGATTTTACCACATATCATATTTATTTTATAGGCAGACTGTGCTCATTTTGAAATAAGTGATATGACAATATTAATATCAAACGATGATTTTGCGTTGATTATTTATGGTTACATATATTATATTTAGATATGTATTGTACGAATTCTGTTAGAAAAATAATTACGTAAATCATATAACCAAAACATGATTTTCCTGTCAAAAATCTTATCAATATGATTAAACAGTGACGAGATTAAAAGTTGTTGGAATATCAACATTTTTGTTGCTGTTGATCCTGGTATTTGTACTAGTTCGTACTAGTTGACTGGTTTGTCGCATTGATGATCTTTGGTAATTCACCATCAAAGGGCCTCGGTTTGTCTGGTAACCGAGATATCAATCCAAACATACTTTTTACCTTTAAGTAAACTCATCTCGGACTACCAACTCAAAAAGAAAAAAAGTTCATTTATGCTGTCGTATTAGATAGATGACTTACCATAAGAAAGCCACAATGTGGTTTCTATTCGTATAGTTTATTCATACCTTGTTTTCGATGCCGATGAATTGGGTAGAAGGATGATCATTAACAAAACTTACGCTAATCGCTAATAGATCAGCTGCGGATTTATTAAAGCAATCTTTGACGAAAAAAGTGTTTAGGAGTAACGATTGATAAGGGAGAATAATTGTATCAAGGAATATTTCTGAGGGCTTTGCTTTGATGAGGCTGTTTTATGCAGTGAACTTATTGTATGCATGTATAATTGATTGTTTTTTATATGGCATTCCCTTATATTATAACAACAATCAGTTTAAATCCATCCGATGTTAACTTTTAATAATAAACCGTAGCCACATGAAAATGAAGGTTTTTAAATTACCTGCCAAACTTTCTAAGCTACCTTTGCGCTGTAATGTTCGCGAATGAAACGACTTACATATAAACAACGATCGACTAATAACGATTCAAATAATGGATATGATCGACCGAACCGTCTCTAAAACAATTAACGGAACAGATCCAGATCTAGAAAATCGACCCTTCTCCTTTTCAATACTTTTTTTTTAATATGAATAAATACTGACGAAGAAAAATTTTTTTTTTTTTTTGAGATTTTCGTTAATATCAGCTGATGATATTTGTTCTGGCTCTAACCTTGGCCACTAACTTGTTTGATTGCCATCAATGTACCGGGCGGGAACACGGAAAAGTGAGGCGTGCCAGTTAACAAAACCTATATCTGTCATTAATGGTCATTAATGTATGATTTCGTTGTAAATGAAAAGGCGTGGTTTCCGTATTCGTTAGCCACAAATGGAAATTAAATGAAGGGACAATATTAAGAAGATGATAAAGTATAAAAAAGCCCCTGTTCTTTTCAAGCTATGATATAATGTTGGGGCTTTGAATTTTGTATTTTCTTTTTTTTTTTTTTTTTTTTTTTTGTTCTCCGATTAATGTTAAAAGTTTTCCAAGTGAAATTTATTAAAAATTTTGCGTGTGTAATTAATGTTTTGA